GATGATCTTGACTTGAAAGCCTGCCTTGTTGTAGCGGCGGAATATCTTATCCAATGCTTCAAATACAGGGTCAGTCTTCAGGTTCTGCACGGGAATACATGAGCGATAACGCACAGTGGTATCAATGAAGGTGAGAAACTTAGCATTCTCGATCTCCATGTGATCAATACAGACGGTAATAGATCGATTGTGCTGATATAATTCCTCTGGTGGACCGAAGAAGTCGTCGTACGTCTTCTTCAGAGTTGGTCTTGTTGGCTTGCCTTTCAATGTAGAGGCATCAGGTCCAAAGATTGCTTTGGCATGATTGATCGCTTCTTCGGTGATAGGACAGTTCTTGATGAGACCAGATTGGATCGCATACTTCAGACTTTTGGTGCTTGGAGCATTGAGTATGTGCATTGCACTTCTTGCTTCCATCGCAGCCTTGACTTGTCTTGGAGTGAATCCTTCCTTGTTCTTTCGAACGGTTGCCATCTTGGAGGTCATCTCAAGTCCAGCATATCCATTCTGTTTGTTTGAAGAAAGTTCGAAATGGGGTTTGATTATTTAAGTTGCTTAACTGGCGACGGTACATCGCACTTGGAAGACCCTGTAGAGATTCTCGAGGGCACCCTCCACATCGACATCCACGCCAAACATGTTTGGGACGTGGACGATGGCCTATCCGTGATTGGTTACCTCAATGACTGGAACGAAAACCAGGCCCAACTCCAGACCGCTCTTCAGACTATCGAGACTATCACTGACAAGAGGAACAGTTTGAACCGGGACCTACAGTCCGTTTGTGACGAATTGGAGGCTATAGAGGCCGCCCAAGAGGCAGCTGCTGCTATGTCAGAGTTGGCTACAGACGTTAGGCCCATTCCGATGCTTACAGTGGACGTCCCTACAGGTCCACCGGGCCAAACACGCGTCAGCACCACTACACTCCTCAGTTCCTCGGCTCATACCATTGCTTCACCAGCGACGGCTCAAGAAACGGACGGAGAAGATGGGGAGGACCAACCCATTGCGTCCTCTCCTATGGACACCGGTTGTGGAGGTATCAGTACCCCCACGACGGGTCCATGATAAACCAAAGATTGCCTGCTGCTCGGTTGCGGCGGAACAGGCATAGATTGTTTATCACCAGCAACCGGTCAAGAGCGGCTCCACACACCTCTCTTGATTCCCTTTTAAGTTCCTTCCTTCCAGGAGATGGTTTTGGTGACAACCATCTCGTTCGTGCACAGGGTTCCGCCCGACTCGCCTTCCAGAATATTAACACTATTCCCGACAAGTCAGACGACCCTAAACAAGCACAACTCAACCACTGGATTCGAAGCGAATGTGTGGACTTTTTACTTCTGGCTGAATTGAACAAATTCTGGCCAGCAATTACACCAACCAACCGATGGCGTGAACGAGCCAGCACTATGGCTAGGAAGGGCGAAGGTTTCCATTCGGCGGTGGCCTACAATACCCATCAACCACGGGCGGCCCATTCTACCACTCAATTTGGGGGCTGCTCGACTTCTGCCTTCAACGAAGTATCTCACCAAGTTAGGTCCAGTGGCGACAATAGCTTGGGGCGATGGGCTTGGATCCGACTTCAAGGCCAAACACGAGGCGTTGGCCAGCGCAACTTGGTGGTCATCTCTGCCTACCGTCCAAACCCACCTAATGACAGGCATCAAACAGTGTGGTTCCAACAGAAGGCCCACTTCAGCCGCACCAACCGCGATGCAGAACCCAGGGAGGCTTTCATCAAGGACCTCTCGACGGCTATCAACAAATGGCGCGATGACGGCTGTTCTAGGGCATCAATGCCAACGACGACTTATCCTCCTACTCCCCAAAGTCTTTCCGTTTTCGGATGAGCGAAGTAGGACTGGTCGAGGGGATCCAGTCTAAGCACCCAGGGTCCCATCAGGCCACTTACCAGCGGAACCTCCGTGGGTATCCAATTGACGGCATCTTCGCGACGCCTGACGTGCCCATCCTGGCCGCCGGGTACTACCCTTTTGAAGAACATGTCGCCTCCGATCACCATGGCCTGTGGATTGACTTTGACTTGAACAGTCTCCTTGGCGGACAGACACCTACGAAATCCACCCATGTTCCACGCCGGCTGGTGATGCACAACAAACGGGTGGTTCAACGATATGTCCAATTGGCGGAGCAGGGTTATATGCGGTACAATATTCCGGGTTGTCTCTTGACCCTAGGATTCGATGTTGCGCGACAGCAGGGCGTCATCACCAAATCCCAGGCGGTCAGATTTGATCAGATACACGCTGATGCCTACATAGTTCGACGGTTGGCGGAGCAGAACTGCAGGAAGTTGTTGATGGGCGGGGCAGAATGGTCTCCTACAGGCCAATCCATTCGGGATCGGATCACCTTGTGGCGCCTTCTCCTCAAGGGCCGAAGTCAGTGCCGGGTGAGCTCCAGGAAGGTTTGCCGCCTGCTGCTCAAGACAAACAAGCCCCTGGCCTGGAAGTTGACTACAGCCAAACTTGAGTCTCACCTCACCCAAGACCTTGGTTGGTATAGAGAAGCCAAAAGAGGCCTCACTTCTAAATGGTGGAAGGCTCATGTCACTACTCCCACCCAGAGCATTGCTAAAGTCCGTCACAAGACGGCAAGCCAACGAGAACAATATCACCGCTTGCGGTCCATAAAGCAACGCGAGGAGACTCATCGGAGACGCAAAGCTTGTTCCTCCGGTTTGTCTGGCGGTCTAAGGGCTATTCAAGTCGAAATGGAGGACAGCTCTGGCAATTGTCGGTTACAGACCATTACTGACCCGACGTCGGTCGAAGATGGATGCATGCAAGAAAATAGGGCCAGGTACCAACAAACCCAGACCCCACATCCAACTCCTCCCATGTCTGAGCCTCTCTACACTATGTTCACGGGCCCCGACGCCAACAACAACCAACAACTTCTTCTGGAGGGCAAACTCCCCATCCCTGGTGGCCTGGCTTACCCTACCCAAGCCTTCCTTCGCCACTGTCGACTGCACGACAGTTATCGGCCTCGTCCTTTCCCCTTGACGGTTGAAGAGCACGTGGACTTTTGGAGTCGCACCCCTGAGAACAAGGGTTCTGAGCCCCACGGCCTCCATAATGGCCACTTCAAGGCAGGCGCCCTTTCGGAACTGTTGGCTTCTTGTGATACGGCCTTTCGGGATCTTCCGCTCCGTTCAGGCCATGTTCCGGAACTCTGGAAGAACCTGATGAACTTTGCGATTGAGAAGAAGCCTGGCGACTTCCGACCACAAGGGATGCGGACCATCCAGCTGTTCAACTCGGAGGCTCAGGCCAACTACAAGAAGGCGGGTTGGGCTGCAATGAAGAATGTGAGGAGGATGGCATCATCCCAAAAGGACAGTGTGGGTCACAAAAGCAGCACCAGTCCATTGATCTTGCCCTTTCCAAACGATTGCTCTGGGACTCGCTCATCCTGGAACGACGGTCTTCCGGCTGGATCTCGAACGACGCGAAGTCTTGCTTTGATCGCATCGTTCACTGGGTGGCAAAGACGGCCTTTCGGAGATTCGGCCTGCCGGTCACTGTCACCAACCTAATGTTTGATATCTGGCAAAGGCTAAACATAGGGTCCGAACTGGCTTTGGCAACTCGGATCGGACCTTTGGGCCCACTGGCAATGTTCCCTTCCAAGGCTGCGGTCAAGGCAACAGCGCCGGCCCGTGTATCTGGGTTGCAATCAGTGCCATCCTCATTGACGCCATGGAGGCCGAGGGATTTGGGTACAAGAGCCAAACTGCCCTCACTAACAAGGAGTTCTTTGCTTTGTGCTTCTGCTTTGTTGATGACACCAATGTCATGGAGTCCAACGACAACGTGGAGACGACTGGCGAAGACCTCCTCCCTTTGGTACAATCGGCTTTGGACCTTTGGTCGGGTGGCATCAGTGCAACTGGTGAAGCTATCAACCCGGCGAAGTCCTTCTGGTGGCTGATTGATTTCAAATGGCGGCCGTCCTCTGGCACGTGGGTGTTTCGAAGGAAGGCTGAAATGCCTGGCGAACTGACCCTTCAAGACCCGACTGGG